GGCACGCTACGTCCGGTTTTCCGATAGGGGGATCGGTAAGTGGCGCAAAATAGGCGCGTGCTCGCTCCCGCTCCCGCTCGCATATGACGCGGATGGACGCGGTCGGTCGAGAGTAGCATAGCTACTAGGATTAGCCGGTTGAAATTAGCAAGCAACCGTAGGAACGGGCGTTCGCCGAAGGGAGGAGGGCGTAAGTAAGTACGTAGGGTGATAAGTCAGAGTACGGGTCGCGGGCCAACGCGGATTTCCGAAGATATCGGAGAGAAGTACGATCCGGCCGTGGACACGGCGTTATCCGCGCTCGATCTGGTCGGACATTATAGGGCCGCGAGGAGGACGATGGAGGGAGGGAGAGAAAGAGAGAGCGATAGATCGGATTTTATGAAAATTGGCCGACGTCGCGATCGGCTGTTCGACGCCCTTCGTGCTCGTGGGCGTCGAGACTCCGCCTCCCGGGAGCTGGCGCGCTACACCGCCTCGGACCGCCTCTCTCTCTCTCTGGCTCTGTTCCTCGTTCACGGCGAACGCGTTCTCCGTAACGAGCGCGCGATTCTCCATCCCTACCCCGAGAGCTACTCAGCCTTCTCTCGCTCGTTTCGATCGCTCGCTGAGAAAGAGAGAGAGGAGAAGGTTGGTTCGGAGAAGGCTGGCAGATTCCTCTCGGAGGATCCGTGGTCGCGGTCCCGTTCGGGTCGGGTCGAGGTTCGAAACGTCGCCTCCGCCTTTGCCCCCGCCTCCGCGGAGACCGCTTTCGCCTTCGCCTTCGCCTTCGCCTTCGCGGACTCTACCCAGACCACCAGAGGGGAGAGCCCCGGCCCCGTCACGGGAACGATCGCCGCGCCAAAGGTGACTGTCCAAGCCAGTGTCGAAGCCGCAGTCACCGGTTGCACCGCGTTCTCGAACACCTCCGCTCCGTCGCCTCGGCCTTTACGGATAGGATACCTCTGTACGGAAAGGAGGCTGAATGTGCGCGAGGCCACGGCTCCAGTGACGACGGATCCGAGTGCACCAGGCCCGCTGGAGAACAGTGTTCCGTCCACGCGATTCGCCGGAATGACCGTCAGTGTCGGGAGCCGTTTCCCCTTCGATGTTTCTCCTCGAGGCTAGCTTCTTCTCGAGGAGAACGAGTGCACCGACCTGCTGCACCGTCCACTCGATGAGTCTGCTCGCGCGGAGAAGATTCACCTGGATCGGTGAAACTGGGATTTCGCGACTCGCGAGTGTGAACGCGTGAAAGATAGCCGTCGGGGTGGAAGATACGGAAGCCGTCGCTACGAGCAAAAACGGACGCAAGCAAGACGGACGCTCGCCACTTGCAGCGGGGGAGCAAACCTCTCGATCCTGTCCTCCGACTCTTTATACCTACCGTCGTCATGTCTCTCACCTTGGACCATTGATCACGAGTGAGTAATTTTTCCTTGGCTTTTCCACCTCGAGCATTTCCGTCCTGCTCTAAAAACTAGCGATCGATCGCGAACGTCGTGGAACGGAAGGATACGGGTCGTTATCTCTCGGCGTTAATTAACGATAACGAGCGGCAGTAGAGAAGGACACCCCCGTTGGACTGATTCGAACGTTGGTTGTTCCGACGCGCGAACGCTCTTGTCGCGGATCGGGGATCGCGGATCGCGACCGGTACGAAAACGGTGTCTAACGGGTCGTTAAGTCGATAACTGGCGTTGCTCGCGGTTATCGCGATACATCGAAGCATGCCGGCACCGCCATTCTTTCTCCGGTGGCTTTATCTGAACGAGCATTTCCCGTAGAAACCACGGCGAGATACGAGCTACGAGCTACGAGCTACGAGCTACGAGCTACGAGCTACGCTTCGCGATTCAACTACCGGTCGAACCAGGCTAACTTTGCTTTCCAATTATCCTACACAACCCTTTCCGAGTCTATGGGAAAATCGTAAAGAAGCGGGCTATTTGGTCGAACGAACACGAAGGGATTGGGTGCGGTATGGGTTAACAGGGGAAGGAGAAGGAGAAGGAGAACGATAACGATAACGTATCGGCGTGTAACGAGCGCCGGTACGCATGACTTCCGGTCTCTTCCACCGAAAACGTTTTTCTTTCTGTTGATGCGGGACGGAATTGCGAGCGTAACGGAGTTTGAAATGGTATCGCGGCCCTCGAGAGACAACCGGGGAATTTGTAAGGCAAAAGGGAGAGCAGAGTTGGAGTGGATTGTAACGTCGGCGCCGGCGGCTTCGGCGGCGGCATCCTTCTATGAGAACACTCGCCCGGTTCTTAGGCCTAATTGGTTGTCGCCCGGCGCGGCGCCTCGTCTTGTTCCCGGAGAAAGCAGTCCGAGAGATCGGTTCCCGTCTTTTTTCTCTCGCCACCCTTTCGAGGGTGCTCTCTACTACCGGAGAGAGCGCACGCACCGAGTCTATACCTGGGATCCGTCTGGGGCTTGGTGCGACGGAGCAGCAGGGCGACAGTTGCCCGGAGGGAAGTAAGAATGAATTCCGCGACGGACGAATTGAGGGGGTAAACGTGTACGCGAAACGTATCGGCGCGTAAAGGCGCGAGCCGCGAGCCGCGAGCCGCGAGCCGCGCTTAATTTACCGTAATAGCTATTCCGCGTATCGGATAGATATTTTTATTGGCATTCGCTTTCGGTACGATACGCATTTATCGAATGTCGTGTTTATCGAGCATCGTAAAACGATCGTTAATGCTTTTACGAATCGATAACGATCGCCACGGGTTCTCGTAATAATGACGTTGCCACGCTGTCTACCGTCGGATCGATAAGATCTGAAACGATCTCTGGACTCGTTCGAGATCAGAAATAGGAGGAGCCCGGTAATTTATCACCCGCGTTTTCGGCTATCGCCCCCCGACTCTTTCTCTCGTAACCGAAAGTAGCCCGATTTCCACCCTTGCCAGGATCGTTTCGACCCTGCCAGCGTTACGAAATATCGAAATACACAGTAACGAACGTTTCGCAATCTACTTACATATATCGACAAAAGCGATGAATTTTGTAAATGCCTCCAGCCTGCTCAGGTTGCTGGTTTGCGACACGCTCCTTTCTCGAAGTTGCGTTAGAAATTGCGTCCGAAATGGTCGAGTGGACGTTACCGTTTCTCGCGGCGAGATCGTCGAGGATAATCGTTGGAAGATAGGCAGAAAATCCGGTAAAATGGTATCGCGTCTCGATCGAGGCTGCGAGCGAGTTTGCGCGCATCGGCCAAAGACCCGTTACGTCGGAGGACGAGGTAATTAATTTAAGCCGCGAACGCCTCGGCACTAGGCCAATGCAAACACCTTGTTTGCGCGCTCGCACGCAGAACCGCGGCTTACAACGTCGCCTTAGCCTCCAACTCAGGGGATCCTTCGGCTCTGCGGTCCGGGATGCACGCGTAACTGTACCAACGCGCGGCAAAGGAAAGAGGGGTGGAGGATGAGCATCCTCGACCGAGGAGGGTGGTCGGAGAGGCGTATGAAATTGCAGGGAAGAGGCGAAAAAGGAGAATGCCTCGCGATTTAACGAGCCAACCGCGATCCCGTATCGCGACGTTAATTACCGTCTGGAGTTTGAGCCGGCTAGGGGATTCGGACTCGGTTGCGATCCTCCTCGGGGAGGTTCGATAACGCGCGCGAGCCCTCGCGAGACGGCTGACGAGAGCGCGAGGGAGTGTGCCAGAGAGAGAGAGAGAGGAGGTTGGTTTAACGAACCTACCGACTCGGACGTATCGCGGCGTTAATTACCGCGGCGAGAGAGCACGGACGAAATGCGCGCGACGGTTAGAGAGGAGTCACGGTGATCGTCCCTCGCCTATCGTCCGACCTCGTCGTCGCGGCAGATGCATTAATTGAACCGGCTTAAATTATAGCCGGCCGCTAATTGCGCTCTTCTTCTCGGGCTGTCCGACCGCGAGAGACACGCGGCATTTCTCCTAGCGATTGCGCGCGATTAAACCGTCCCGCGAAACGACCCACGAGAAATTGCTCGCGCCTCGGCGCTTCCCTCCTCTCTCGGATCTCGGAGTGGACGGCCGAACGAAATCGAAGCGAACCACTTAAAGAACGAAACCGGCCGCGAGGAATTACGATAGGACAGAGCTGTGGAGAAGGACGGTAAGAACGTTTCCGACCACCATCGGCGAGAGTGGAGGAGGAAAAGTAAGGAGTCGGCGCGAGAAACGGCGTGGCACGCGGTTCGCGTGCCTCGGTTCGATATATCGCGATTACGTAACTCGATTAACGGTAAAATCGGCCCTGGTCTGTGAGGAACGAGCGAGAAGGGAAGCGCGCGGCGCTGGACGTTGGTTAAAAATTGACACGCGACGCGACGCGACGCGACGCAACGCGGTGCGACGCGCGCGGCATCGCAACCAGTCTCCCCCCGCGAGGAGGATCGTAGGAGACAAGGATAAAATCGCGGCCGTGGCTAGTCCGGACAATAATCGTAACGTCTCGGTCCGGTAGAGGCAATTCTCGGTCCGGTTCGAATAAACGCGACGAATCCTTATCGTTAATTGGACGATAAAGGTAAAGGCGTTCGCGCGGATCTTCTTACCGGCGCGGTCCACGCGAGATTTATTCGGTCGGATCGCGGTATACCGGGATCGATATGCGCACCGCGGAATCCGGTGCCTGACCGGTTTCGACTCGCTCCGAAAAATCCCCCGAAAGATATTGCCGTCGCGGCTTAGACGGCGAGCCGCGAGACGCGTGGCGTCGCATCCCCGATACCGTGGCCGCGATTTTTAATCCCTTCGCTAGTGTGTATCTTAATTATCGAATTTATTAAACGGCGATCCAATCCTCGAAACAAGCCGGAATTATAATCCTGAGAAACTGGCGGTAATACGGTCACGCACCACCGAGCCAGCGAACGTAGGAGCGAAGGAAGGAAGCAGGCTCGGAGCGTTCTCAAAGTTAATTAGAAAACAAACAGAAAATTAACGCGAACCCGGCAGCGAATCTCTCTCTCTCTCTCTCTCTCTCTCTCTCTCTCTCTCTTTCTTCACTCGGCCGTTACTCACGATTTATCGTAACTCGTTCGAGTCCGGTCGGTGACCGGTTTATGCTCGAGATTGGTCGACGATGCGTTCGCGCGTTCGCGCTCGCTGATATCGCCGATCGAAAATCTTGGATAGCCGCGAATCCGCGTCCTCCGCGAGAGCAGGAAGCTGCCGCTATTTTCCCGCGAGAGCGAAACCAGTTTGCCTCCTCGAATGGTGAAAAATGGTGAATTATCGCGTAATCGCGAATACGTTTAACCCGCTAACGGGTTAATCGACGTTAATCGATCATTTTCTTTCGCCCGGGCATCTCAGAGCGATCCTTGGCCAAATACTCGAACGGATAGGTAGGCAGGTACCTACCAACTGGACTGACGGCGGATATTCGGGCTCGAAAAATCGAGACTCACGACCGGTTGGACGGCGAAAATCTTCTCGACCGTTAATCTTGATTTATGATAACCGCGACCGCGATCTGCTCTCGGAGACCGAGCGGATAATTGGATCGCGCGTACGTCCCGTATGCTCCGTTGCTACCGGTCTCGCCGGCCGTCTGCCCGACCGATATCTACCGAGCCTTTGCCTTTTCCTTCGCCTCGCCTTCGCCTCGCCTCGCCTCGCCCTGCCTCGCCTCGCCTTCGCCTTCGCTTTCGCCTTTTGCCACGCGTTCCTCCGGAACGAAAAGCGGCACTCTTTTCGCGCCGCTTCTTCTCTCTCTTCGCCTTTCCTCTCCTTTTTTATCTCCGTGCACGTCCTGGTCGCGCGAATCGACCAGTCGACGAATCCCCCTCGCCGGCCGAAAGAGGAAAGAGCGGAGAATCGCGTGCACGAGGAGTCAGACGATCGCGAGTCGCGATCTCGGCCGAGTTCAACCGTCGCATCGGGGGGAACGCATCGGCGTCACGCATGGAAACGCGGGTTCGCGCTCGCTACGCCAATCCGCTACGAATCCTCCTGGCAGCTCGCGATCACGAGGACGTAACGTAATCGATGGAATCGGTCGTGCGAGGTACGTAAATATCTAACTTGCACATATAGGTGAACGCGAGCGACTCGTTGCAGGGTAAAGTGTCTTGGTGCGATTCGATCGCGCTACGTTTACATGGAACTTCCCGGATACGCTGGAGAACGGTAGAACCGGTCCGAGACGGTGCGTGCCGGCCGAATAATCGACTCTGGTTAATTAGCTCGCGATCGATTCCTCTCCATCCAGATCTTTGGGAAACAGGCAGACGCCGCTTTTTCTTTCTCTTTTTCCTTGATTCGTCGC